TAAATTTGACCCAGCTTTGCCCACCAGGTTTCTCTGTGCAGCACCAACCGAGATCCGGAGGGCGGGGAGGCGGAGTTGCAGTGGTCTATAGAGATTCCATTCTTCTGACCAGGGCCCCCATCCCGCAGTCAACAAATTTTGAATGCGTCCACCTGAGGGTGGGTGACCGGGACAGATTAGGGATTCTGTTAGTGTACCGTCCACCTCGCTGCACTACAGACTCCCTGCCTGAGCTATCTGGGATAGTCTCAGGCCTGGCATTGGAGTCTCGGGAGCTAATTGTGCTTTGGGACTTCAATGTCCATGCTGAGACAACCTTATTGGGAGCAAGGTGGTCTCAGGACTTCATGTCTACCATGGCAACCATGGGGCTGTCCCAACAAGTATCTGGCCCCACCCACAGTGCTGGACATACATTGGACTTGGTTTTCTGTCAGGGATGGGAGGAAGGTGGCGGTGTTGAGGAGTTATCCATCTCTCCGTTGCCATGGACCGACCACCACCTGGTCAGCTTTAGACTCACTGCACCCCCTAACCTCCGCAGAGGTGGAGGACCCATTAAGCTGGTCCGCCCCAGGAGGCTTATGGATCCGGATGGATTCCTGATGGCTCTTGGGGAATTTCCCGCCACCTCGGTAGGTGATCCTGTTGATGCCCTGGTCGCTCTCTGGAATGGGGAGATGACTAGGGCAATAGACACGATCGCTCCAGAACGTCCCCTCTCAAGTAGCCGAGCTAAACCAGCTCCTTGGTTTACCGAGGAGCTGGCAGCGTTGAAGCGAAAGAAGAGGGAACTAGAGAGCGTGTGGCGTTCGGATCTGAGCGAGCCAAATCGAACACGGTTTGTGTCCTTTTTAAGGGCATATGCCGCGGCAATAAAAGCCGCAAAGAAGACTTTCTTTGCGGCCACTATTGCGTCTGCAAAGAACCGTCCGGCTGAACTGTTCCGAGTTGTCAGAGGCTTGTTAAAACCCACTACTCAGGATGGGTGCCCTGATGACTCGGCAGCTCGCTGTGAAGCTTTTGCTCAGTTCTTTGCAGACAAAGTCGCTTTGATCCGCTCTGGACTGGATACCATATTAACGGCAGTCTCTGAGGATGTAACACGAGCATCTGCTTGTCCAATTTTGATGGATTCATTTCAATTGGTTCAATCCGAGGATGTGGACAAGGTGCTTGGAGGAATGAGAGCTACCACATGCATCCTAGACCCCTGCCCATCCTGGCTTCTAAAGGAGGCCAGAGGGGGATTGGCTGAGTGGGTGAAGGTGGTGGTTAATGCCTCCCTTCGGGAAGGCAAAATTCCAGCCAGCTTAAAGCAAGCTGTGATAAAACCGCTGTTGAAGAAACCATCACTGGACCCCACTCAATTCGTCAACTATCGGCCTGTTTCCAATCTCCCCTTTTTGGGCAAAGTCATGGAACGTGTGGTGGCCTCACAACTCCAGGCATTCTTGGTAGACACGGATTATCTGGATCCGGCACAGTCTGGCTTTAGGCCGGGGCATGGTACCGAGACAGCCTTGGTCGCCTTAGTGGATGATCTGCGTCGGGAGCTCGACAGGGGAGTGTGTCCCTGTTGGTGCTGCTCGACCTCTCAGCGGCCTTCGATACCGTCGACCACGGTATCCTTCTGGGACGCCTCGCGGGGATGGGTCTTGGAGGTACTGTTTTGCAGTGGCTCCGCTCATTCCTCGAGGGTCGGTCTCAGAAGGTGTTACTGGGAGACTCCTGTTCAACCCCACAACCTTTGTCTTGTGGGGTTCCTCAGGGTTCAATACTGTCTCCCATGTTGTTTACATCTACATGAAGCCGCTGGGCGAGATCATCCGGAGTTTCGGAGTGCGATGTCATCTGTACGCAGATGATGTCCAACTCTGTCACTCCTTTCCCCCTCTACTAAGGAGGCTGTCGAGGTCCTGAACCGGTGCTTGGCCGCTGTGACGGTCTGGATGGGGGCGAACAAATTGAAATTGAATCCAGACAAGACAGAGGTACTCCTGGTCAGTCGCAAGGCCGAACAGGGTATAGGGTTACAGCCTGTGTTAGACGGGGTCGCACTCCCCCTGAAGACGCAGGTTCGCAGTTTGGGTGTGATCCTGGACTCATCGCTGAGCCTGGACCCCCAGGTTTCGGCGGTGACCAGGGGAGCATTCGCACAGTTAAAACTTGTGCGCCAACTGCGACCGTACCTTGGGAAGTCTGACTTGGCCACGGTAGTCCACGCTCTGGTTACATCCCGCCTTGACTACTGCAACGCTCTACACCAAACACCCCTCCCGCGCGCTACTTTTCTTCGATCTAGATCTTTCCCTTCCCGCCCCCCCCCGAACCCCCCTTTGACCCCCCCCCCACCCTTTATCTTGGTTTCTTCTCGCGAGCTAAAACAGCCTCTCCCTACCCCCCCCCCCCCCACGCTCTGGTTACATCCCGTTAGACTACTGCAACGCTCTCTACGTGGGGTTGCCTTTGAAGACGGCTCGGAAGCTCCAATTAGTCCAACGGTCGGCAGCCATGTTACTAACAGGAGCGGAGCACAGGGAGCATACAACTCCTCTGCTGCACCAGCTCCACTGGCTGCCGATTTGCTACCGGGCTCAATTCAAAGTGCTGGCGTTGGCCTTTAAAGCCCTAAACGGTTCTGGCCCAACTTATCTATCCGAACGTATCTCGGCCTATCAGCCCACCAGGACCCTAAGATCTTCTGGGGAGGCCCTGCTCTCTATCCCGCCTGCTTCACAGGTGCGGCTGGCGGGGACGAGAGACAGAGCCTTTTCTGTGGTGGCCCCTCGGCTTTGGAATGCCCTCCCCATAGAGGTAAGGTCAGCCCCCTCGCTGATGGTGTTTCGAAAAAGACTAAAGACATGGATGTTCGAACAAGCTTCGGTTAACTCGGTGCAACGAATCTGATGATCAAGGACTGGTAATCACAGACGATGAATTTGGATTGCGTTTTTAGTTAAGAGATGCACTGGTTTGTTATTGGTGGCCCAATACTGTGTATTGTGTATGTGTTTTTATGCTTTTTATATTGAATACTGTTGATTATTGTAGTGTTGTAAACTGCGTTGAGTCGCCAATGTAGGCTGAGAAACAGCGGTATACAAGCGCAGTAATAAATAATAAATAAATAAATAAATAATATCTCTCATAAGGGCTTGGTTTAAACCTCCAGTTTGCTAGAAAAACTCGCAAAACAATCCAGGTTTAAAAAGTGTTCACCAACATGAAATGTTTAGAAAGTCCTGTGATGAAGTCTCAAATTTGTATGTTATGAAAATAAAGTTGAACTACTTCTTACTTTGTTAAACCTGATTCTGACTGGTGTTGAGACTGAGCAATTAAAGGAACAGATTGTAAAAGGAATTTGTCCTCCCCTAAATCAGGGAGGAGTATAAGCAGGGGGCACAGGGCAAGGTGAGAGTGGTGGGCACCCAAGACTAGGAATAACCGGCCCAGGTTGGATAGATTAATATTACAGTACTAGAATCATTGCAATGATTTCAGAAACAGACTATTAGATGAAAGAAGCACACTGAGAAGGAATGCAAAGCATGCATTTGACAGCTATTAACCAGGCCAGTAAGAGCCTATATTTCATTCTTTTTTTTGGGAGGGGGAGGTGATGATTTCATCAAACTACTTCCTTTTGGTTATCACCATTTACATTTCCAACAGAATCCCTACTGTAAACTTTCCTGAAATTCCCCCCTCCCCCCCAACCCAATAACCCCCCCCCCCAAATAAACATCTAAGAATCAAAGAAACTCAAAAGAAAATAATTTCAAAATAGTATAGGACCCCCTCTCAATTGGATCACATTATGAAAAACACATCTAACAAATGCTGGCCTAAATGCGGGGAGATTGGTACTTTTTCACACATGTGGTGGGACTACTCTGAAATACAAAAATATTATAATACCTTTAGAGAAGTAATAGAGGAAATATTAGAGCAAAAACTACTTTGGAATAAAGCTCAATTTATTTCCCTCAATATAGAGGTAAAGGAAGGGAACAATGAATGGTCAGATATATTGAAATTTATGATAGCCGCTATACATGCCACAATCGTCAGAGGTTGGAAAGATAAAACAAGGTGGGACTTGACAACCTGATGGTCTTATCTCTCTGAATATTTAATTAATGACTTCATCTATGAAAAGAAAAATAAATATTTGAATATTCAGTCAAGACAAGATTGGTATAGGAAATGGTCTTGCTTAATCGACAAAGCGGAAGGAAAAGATAGGTACAGAACTTTAAATCAGGCCTTCCAGACAATTAAATCAATGAACTGACCCCAGATGGGGGTGGGTGGGAAGAGGGTGGTAAGGTTGGGTGGGTGTGGTGGGGGATTTAAAGGGGTAAATAATCAAGATATACGGCAAAGGGAAGCACAATTGGAACCTGTATCCTAGCCATAAAAATTGTAAACAGTTTTTGATATTAACTTTTAGATGGCTAGGTTCATATTGTATTGTTTTGTCATCTGTATGAAGAAATTAATAAAAAAAAATTAAAAACTTTCCTGGAATTGAGTCATTTTAGGCTGAAGATAGAAGGAATAAATATCTGTATATAGAAGGAATAAATATCTGTACATTACGTTGACAGCTGGCCTAGATTTTTTTTTGCTGATGTCACAAATGTACATCATCTCCTCCAGCACACTTAAAGTAACTGAGAAAGTGACACAACAGACAATTAATCAGGACTGACCCTGCTAAATTGGGATAGCTGGAAGGTACAGAACACAGAAATAGACCTTTCTCCTCTAATTGTTGCAGTCTGAAATCATACACCACACCATTTTCTATTATGTGTGAGTCCTAAATGTTGAAAGCTTAACTTATAGGACATAATTTAAGCCTCATGTCTGAAAGTCCAAAACACCTACTTCCAACATATATATCCCCCTTCAGTCAATTAGGAAATATCAGCATTTGGCCATAACAGAAAAGAATAAGACAACTTTTACAAATAAAAGCTTTTTCTTACCACACTGTCTCTGTAGACATCAAACACAACTGGAAAGAAAAAGAGAGAGGGGCGTTTGAGGTTAAGAGAACAAATTGTGCTGAGAGAACAAAGTAAAAGATTCATACAGAAACAGATGTTGGACTTTTATGTGATATAAGGATAATAAAGTAAGATGCCCTGGAACAAGGAGGAAGTGTGCATGTTCTAGCTTTGTTTCCTAATGTTATGGTGCTGTGCCTGAACAAAGAATAACTTTGGACTGAAGAAGACAAGGTCTACCTTGTCTAGCATTTCCAACAGTGATCCCAAGTATATCACACATAGGGCTTTTGTTGATTTGTTTCTCAACCCTTGTCTGTAATATTTGGAACCAAAGGTGTTTTGGATATTGGATTATTTTGTAATTATTTTGAAATCCCTGAATTTGCAAATCCATTTTTTGGAATCGATCAGGTTCTCCGCATTTGTTAGAATGAGATCAAGAGTAGCCAACCCCCTTGTTGCCTCTTCTACCTTCTGGACCATGAAATTGTCTGCAAGGCAAGCGAGGAAATTGTTGGACCTTGTACTCTTGGCCGAGTTTGTTTTCCAGCAAATATCGGGATAGTTGAAATCGCCCATGACTACTACATCTCTTCTCTGTGCTTGTTTTTCAACTGTTGGCAAAGACTTCATCAAGTTCTTCCTCCTGGCTTGGAGGTCTGTAGTAGACGGCTACAATGACATCTTTTTGAGTCCCAGTTCCCTTGATTCTTATCCAGATGCTTTCAAGCTGGTTTCCCGGATTGCTGTCTTGCATCTCTTCTGCAGCATAACAGTCTTTGACATATAAGGCTACTCCGCCTCCTCTCCCCTTTGTTTGGTTTCTGTGAAAGAGGTTATAGCCCTCGATGTCTACATTCCAGCGATAGGAGTCATCGCACCAGGTTTCAGTGATGCCTATGATATCATATTTGTGGTGTTGTGCTAAATGTTGGAGTTTGTCTTGTTTATTTCCCATGCTCTGTGCATTAGTGTAAAGACATGTGAGCCCCTGAGATTTTCCCCTGAGCTGTTTAACTGGGATTATTGTGCTTTTGATACTTGGTCCTCGTTGTGTTTGTACAGCTCTCCGTTTAGCCTTCTGCATAAGTAGGACATCAATCCTGCAAAGTTTCAGAAATATTAGATCATCTACTGGTTTTTAGGAATTTTAAAAGTTTTTTTCATTAAAAAATATTTTTAAAAACTACCTTAAGTTGAGGGGAGTAGGCCAGCTTTGCAGAAATCTATGTGATTGGTTGAGAAAGGGAAAACAACAGCATGCAGAAACTGTTGTCAATCACATCAGTCTCTCCCCGCCCCAGACAATTACAAAGTATGTTACATTTAAAAAATAGTTTGAAACATAATGAAACAAAAAAATCTTTATTAAGCTCTCTGAAATGCTTTGGAGGCTTCTGTTTTGTTTCATACTGCTTCGGAGGGGTCCTGTTTCAATTAGTAATTTGGAGATTTATGTTAACAAATCATACACTTCTCCGAAATATGAAACAGACCTCCAAAACTTTGCACAGCCATATCAGGAAATATGTTTTGAATTAAACTGGGGATAGGACTTTTCCCTTACGACTGGAAAACTGTTCAACTTTAAAAATTAATATGTCTTTTTATTCCAATTAACATGAAGGGGATAAAGCTAGACTATAAACCCTCACATCCTTTCAATTAGATGTAAGCATGCTTTCTCTTTCTCTTTGCATTTAGCCCAATGAATTTATGATCTTTTGATCACTAACTCGTGAAGTGCATTGTGGAATAAGGGCTTCCTTTCCTTTGTTGTCAAAATAGGATAGGCCCCTAAAAGAAATTCCCTTAGGGGATTGATCATTCTTTACCTTCAAAAGTTCAAAAGTTTGTTTTTAATTTTTGTGGTGTGAAATTTTACCTTGGCTTTTTAATGATGATATTTTAAATTATCTTTTAACTTAATCAAGTTTGAATGTATGTTAGTTCACTATTATGGGAGTCTTAGGATAGTGATTAGTGTCTATTTGTGCATGTTTCTGTTTTTGTTTTTAATGTTGATACGGTCAATGGACTAATCAATAAACTTTGCTTGCTTCAAAAGTTCAATGAAAATCTCCAAGAATACTGTGTTCTCAAACTACAAGGTCATATTATTAACCTTTTTGAGTGTCTGAAAAATCCTATTTAAGCAAGTTCAGACCCTTTTCTCTAATATCATCCATGACATTACTGTTAGATGGAAACATAATTTTCCTGACTATATTTCAGATGATTTAATACAGTGGTTCTCAACCTGGGGTCCCCAGATGTTTTTGGCCTACAACTCCCAGAAATCCCAGCTAGTTTACCAGCTGTTAGGATTTCTGGGAGTTGTAGTCCAAAAACATCTGGGGACCCCAGGTTGAGAACCACTGATCTAATACCTCTGGGTGTTTTATAGGTCAATCAAGGCAAAGAGCAAATTTATGATAGTATCATAAATATTTTGACAATTTCCATAATCTACAGTGTGAAAAAAGTCATTGTTACTCTGAACACTCTTGTGTACAGATCAAAGATGGCATATACAAAGCATTTTTCAGCCAATATGGGGGGAAATACCTGTTTTTCTATTCCTTCTCTAGGCAAAGTAAGATGAGCAGCAAACCTTTGGAAGTTGTAATGGAATTGGTCCATTTTTATCTGTGCATGAATATAACCACACTAAGTGAAAAACAGGTGACAAGTAAGCCATAGGCCTCTCTCAGTTTTGTTTTAGTTCTTTCGCTCGCCTGCCGCAGCTGTACTGTCTGAATCAATGGACGTTACAAAAAGGCAACTTTTTCTCCAAAAACAAGGTGTAGTTTCCCCACCACCTTGTCTATAAGTGGAACTCCATTCCTGGAAGCCCTCAGGAATGCAATTCTGCTTATACACAAAATATGCAAGCAGCACCTACAGTGTTTCAAAAGGTAAACCAAAGGGTTATCTTGCTGTTGCTATAGCAGCAACATCAGGATAAGGTCAGTAACCAACACATCTGATCAACCCGAGAACTATATGAAAATTATTTTAATTTTTTAATTTTGTTGTTTGCAGAAACTTTATTTATTTTATTGACAGGAGAAAGACAAGGTTAAAATCAATTCCTTCACGTTAGAAAGATACTTACAATCCTCATCAAAAAATGTATACTGTATATGTTTCTTGAAGAACTCCTGAACACATCTGCAGATTTCTTCTTTCTGTTTAGAGATGTATTCATAGTATTGGGTGTAGTCCCGCTGTGAAATACCTGTTAGGGAAATTATATCAAGTCATCTATAGGTAGTGCAAGATTTCATTGGAGGATGAAACTGTTCAAAATAAGAAAGTCATCTGAAACATTTTCTCTGCAATCATTTTTCATAAGAAACTGTTTATTTCATCTTTGACCATAGCTTTGTCCTTGTTGAAATTCATTTTGTTAGTTTTGGCCCAGCTCTCTAATCTGTTAAGGTCATTTTCAGTTTTGATCCTGTGCTCTGGAGTATTGGCTATCCCTCCTAATTTGTTATAATCTGCAAACTTGATAAGCATGCTGTAATGAATCCCTTACCTTGGCAAGCTAGCTTAGGCCTAAGAGAGTGGGCCTGGCAAAGTCACTGCATCCATTTTGGAGAAGGGAGACAGGGAGATGTCATCTTAGGTTAGGTTTGCCTTAAGGGGGTGTGTTCTAGTCTTGGAGGGAAAGTTAGACCGCTAGGATTAGTTAGAACAATGGGGGCGGAGCCTAAGTGATCTTAAGGAAAAAAGTGACTTTTAAACTGAGGCTTGAGTTTTCAGATTGCCAGTTTGGAGTTGAGCGTTGCAAGCTTGGAAAGGGTGTTAGTGAGAGCAGTTTAGGGCTCTGAGGAAGGACTTTGGGTCAGTCTTTGGTTTATTATTCAGGATAGTTATAGTAGAAATATAGCTAGAATACTGTGGGGAGCAGCACCCCGTTAGTGGTCTGTTCTTTTCCTTAAGGAAGGCTAGTTCCGGTTTTGGTTAGATTCCTAAGGGGTTTTTTTCGTCGGAATTACTTTCAGAGAATCATTTCCTGAAGTAATTTTCTGTGTTGTAACTTTTAAGACTTGAAACCCAGAAATTTTCAAGATCTCTTCTCAAACTTAGCCACAAGCTTTGTACGTCAGATTTTTACTGAAACCATCAAGCATTTGTATCTGAAATATCCAAGTCTGTTCAATAAAAGTTCTTGTTATTTTTACCAACTTATACCAGCCTCAGTGTGAATACCTTTGTGGTAAAAGTGTTATTCAAGACAGTTTTTACCAGCCTCACGGAAACCCCTTAGTGACATAGTGTGCTACTGAACAACCTCTCAATAGTACCTCAGCCTGTTCAGTAGTAATATGGTGGCAGCAGAAACCTTTTAAAGAATCATTTTTAAGTCTCTCAGTTCCAGTGGTTCCTAATTGTTAAATAGACAGTTGGTTTATTAACAACCATACTCCCTCTATAATTTGGTGAGCTAGTCTGTAAGAGTGGTGTCATCATTATAATTTGAAGGAGCAGCGGTGCGATTCTTTATAATTTGGTGGTACAGTGGTTGGATCTTTATACATGCCGTCTAAACCTTCATCCAAGTCATTAATAAAGGTGTTGAACAGTATTGGACACAGGACCGAACCCTTTGGCACTCCGCTAGTCACTTTCTTCCAGGATGAAGAGGAACTATTGTTGAACACCCAATAGAAATACTGTGACAAAAGTAAGAAAGCCAAAGGGATACTGGCTATAGCATGTTATATATAATCTTGAATTTGAAAATCAAGATGCTTACTGTAGAAACTCATAAAAAACAAACCTTAGAAACCACCATTAATAATCTCACCTATAAGTTTATTTTCCTTCACAAAACATCTGAATTCTGCCCCAGGAATCAATTCACACCATTTTCGGAGTACAAGCTATTGGAACAAAACAAAATTGGGGGATGAAAGAAACCAGATAACTATCAATTTGCATAAAAGCACACATTTATAATATCAGCAATAGTTGATATTATAGTTTTTGAAAAACTGTTTGCTGGAAACAAAGAGGAACCTGTATTAGTTCATATAATTAACTCTGCAAACTAGCCAAGTTGCTGAAACGCTATGTGAGTGATAATGTCACTCTTCTGTGTGAAAACTAGCCAAGTTGCTGAAACGCTATGTGAGTGATAATGTCACTCTTCTGTGTGAAAAATGTTTTTCTAGCCTTCTTAAGAATAAGACTTGCCTGGCGGGGTGGTGGTGTTCTGTTCTCTTGATATCCATTTTATCCAGTACCCTGTTTCAACACTGCTCAACCAGATTGTTCTAGAACAGTGGTTCTCAACCTGGGGTCCCCAGATATTTTTGGCCTACAACTCCCAGAAATCCTAACAGCTGGTAAACTGGATGGGATTTCTGGGAGTTGTAGGCCCAAAACATCTGGGGACCCCAGGTTGAGAACTACTGTTCTAGAAGTTCATACACAATGCCTGTGGCCTATCATGCCAGTCACCCTGTCCCCCAGCAACAGCAGTAGCTGCTATTTAGATGGACAGCAGTGACCACTTAAACAGTCAAACACTTTCACATGACATGCAGTACAAAATGAGAGAAAATATGTTATGCACTGTTAAAAACTCACAAAATGTTTGCCAAAAAACCCCATTTGATTGTTCAGGCTCTTCTCCCTGATTATTTACGGTAATCAGGGAGAGCTTATTCAAGGCAAATTCAAATGCTGTTTAAGTGGTCCTTTGTGTTTATGTAATGGAGCGCTAGATATCAATAGCGCTATTTAGAGTAAAAGAAAGTGAACATAAAAGCAAAGCTTTTGGCTAGGACCCAAAGGCATTGTTCTGCTGGAAAACGTATTTGCAGCCTCTCTGGGTACTCCCAAAACCTACTCCAGCAGGATTGAAAACCCTCTAGAAGGGCTTTCTGGATGACATAGAGGGCTTTAAAGTGGAGGAACAGAAGATTTGTTGCCAAAGTGAGACTCATATCCAAGTTCAACATGATTCTTACCTCATATTCAAAACTGGGGTCAGGAGAATCATCATCACAATGGATAAAGCTGCAAGAGAAAGCATCTGTATTAATTTTCCCCATTTGTTTATTTTTAAGGCAAGTAGCATAGGCAACTAATATGAAAAATTCTCACTGATGCAATTCTGTAAAACATTAACTAAGAAAGCCAAGATATGAAAAATGGTGAGCCACGCAGTAATTGCACAGTAAATCCATTTACCAGAAACTCCACTAAAATCCATCAAAAATAAGACAATTCCACTATGCTCCAAGGCAGCATATTCCAATGCTGAACAGCTCTTACCATTAGGACCTTCTTCCAAATGTTTAGGTGGGATCTCTTTTCTGGCAGCTTGAATCCACTGCTTCATGTTTTAGTCTCTAGAGAAAGCTTCTTAAACTGTAGACTGCAACCCCATAAAGAGTTCACATTACTAAAAATGGGGCCACAATTTGGCAACTGTAAAAGATTTCTGAATGCAACCAGTGGCTGTTTTATCCATTTACACGAATCTATTAGCAATACTGTGGAGTGTTTACAATGAAGTCTGCAGGAAATGTTTAGCTCTACTTCATAAAAAGGGAAAACCAGCCTTGTTTGTTTAGCAAGTCTAGCAATTGCTTATTTTGCTTGATGGCATTAAAAATTCAAGAAGGAATTGCCTAGTTATCGAACTACACAGATTTAAAATCTTAGTTTCCTTTAAAAAATCATAAAATGAATTTTGGCTTGGGTTTAAAACAGAATTTTCAACAATTTCTGAAATAACCCTAAACATACATCTGCCCTTTTGTACTCCTTATTTATGTGAAACAGCATTATCAACACGGATAATTATAAAATCAAAGTAGTGATCACCTCAAAAAAGTTGAACATGCTCTATGTTCTGCAGTATTCAAATATTCCACTAAGATTTAATCTTTATGTAAAAATAAACAAGCACATCCATCTTATTAGTATGCAAATTTACTTTAATCATTAATAAATGGTAAATTTATATGTACAACTGTATTAAATTAAAGTTCTTAATGATTAATTATTTGTAAGTGTTGGATGTGTATACCTGTTTTATATGCCTACATACTTCGGGGCCACCTAAAAATGTCTCAGGCAGAAGTGGGGTCAAGTAGAAAAAGTTTTAGAAGCTCTGTTCCAGAGCAGCAGAAAACATGCTTGTCCCTTCCTCAGTGTGACATCTTTTCAAACATAGAGCAATTGTGTAGTCTGGGTTGTTGTAGGTTTTTTCCGGACTATATGGCCATGTCATAGAGGCATGTTTTGCCTGCATCTATGGCAATCATCCTCGGAGGTTGTGAGGTCTGTAGTCTTTTAGGCACAAATAAACCTCAGAAAGTTCAAAAAGATTCACTATCAGGTAGGTATGGAAAATTCAATGCAAGAGGCTCATCACTCAACAACATCAACAATTTTTATTGATTAGCCAGTTGGCCTTATCAAAAAACAGACAGTGCAGACACAACATGCGACATACATCTAGTTCTCTTAAAATAAAATACAAATATGCAGGTAGCCATAGATATATGCATCAACTATCCTCGTCTCCCCTACACTGCACCCCAATCTGATCTATGTACTCCAATCTCCTTTTAGCAGCTTTAAACAAATAAAGGGCAATTTTTGTTGTCAGAATGGGGTTATAACCAGTCAACAAAAATGAAGTTTTGGCCGCTATATCCCAACTTGTTTTATTACAAATAAAAGGCCATAAGTATTGTTTCCTTTCTTTTTCATATAGATTGCAGTGATGTAAAGTGTGGTTCAGATTTTTGACTTCAGAGGCACCACAGATAGTCTTTCTTCATATGGGATATGATTGAATTTGCCGTGTCTCTCCATGGATTCAATTTGTTCAAATCTTGTCCTGGTAAAAGAGGTTCTTAGGTGTCTTGGTATATCAGATTTTAGGTACGGCGCCCCCTGGAAATTATGTTTAAAGCACCCTAACCACATCAAGGATCCTGTGTTTGACATAGTGGCTGTATCTTTCTGGGCTTCAATATCTAGGATCCTTTAAATTACTGTCCTTTTTTCAGCATCCCTGTTCTGGCCTCAACAACAACAAAGCATGGATTAGCATTAAAAGAGAGGGTGATATTTTTTTTGACTTAACATAAAATGCCTTCACAGACAGACATTAGTTTGGGTTGGGAAAATAAACAATACAAATCAGCAATGGAGAACCTATGTCCTCCATTTAGGATCACACCTCCCCGTTGATGGACTGTCACCTTGTCGTGGTGAGGGGGCTTGCGTGTTCCAATGAACCTGCAGGCACAATGACTGGAGTCATGCACTCCCAGGAGTGGCCGTGGGGGAGGTTCCAGACCAAGCACAGCCCAAAGACCCAAAGACCTCAACGGTGGAGCAGGTGGAGGATAACATGGTACATGTTACAACGGCTGTGAAGGCGGAAGAAGGCTGCAATAGATTGAGAAGCCACGGTCATCTTGGTAAACTATGCCACCTGAGGAACCTCACTCTGTGAAGACTGTGTGTTTATCAGTGTGCACTGACCTCCACACATTAAAAAAAATTCACGCACAGGCGTCTTCCAAGGGGAAAAAAAACAACCAAAGTCCCATGGCGGTCAGCGAGTGGCGATGGGGGCAGGACTGTGAAATCTGGAAGCCCTAGTCACAGCCTGGCACATGGGCGGTGGATACGCACTCAGTCGTTCTACCTCAAGGTCTGAGGCAGTTGAGTAGTTCGGCAGCTGTATCCATGACTGAGCAGCCCTTTTGAGGATCCACTCTGCTCACCCCACATGGAGAAGGGGCTAGAAAAATTGCCCTAAACATAGACTGCCTCTCTTATCCCTGACTGGACTGCCGCATCCAGTGAGATCACCACCCTGCGGCCAAAAAAGAAAAATGAACTTTGGAATGATCAAGAATAGGGCTCCATAGTCACCTACAGACCCACCCTGGAGGATTATCCTACTCGGACAACGAGGGATTGCCTAACTAAACTTAACTAACAACACCTCAATTCATCCGTTTAAAAAAACACTTAAAATGAGGAGCCATTAAGCAGTTCAAAACCCAGACATACTCAACATCAGCAAAACTGCTATAACATATGCCTTCAGACTCAGGGACTATAAAATGATTTGCAAAATTTCAAGCAGAAAAAAGCAGACAAAACTATATTTGAATTGATAACCAAAAGCAACTCCCCCCAAAAAACTGTTTTTTTTAAAAAAAAGCTGTGCGGAACTCCTGATTAACAGATAATACCTTCAGTAAGACAGATAAAAAACAAACAAAAAAACCCCCACCTCCTTTCTATGCCAGCTTGCTATTGCCATCTTCTGGCTGCTAATTGAAGCACAAACTAAAGATACCTGGTTTGTCACCTAAAAAATCCTTCATACAAAGCAAGCAGCAGAACAAGAAAAAAATCTTTCCTCATCCACCTTGAATACAACTTTTTAATATCGTACATTTTAATTTTGATTGAAGCTCTTTCTTGATCATTTCTGTTCATAAAGCTTCTGAGCATTTTGAACTGAAAAGCCTAAGAACATTCCATTTCAACACCTCTTCAGCACAACATCAGAACACTGAAAGATCCTCCCCTAACTGAGCCCAAAATTTGGGAAGTGGTCTGCTTTTAAATGATGACTAACAGCGGCTGTCTGAAACCATGTCTATAAGGAACTCATATTCTGTCACAGTGAGGGCTGCTGGGTTTGAAGTCACTGAAAATGGATCTACAATCCACTCAGAATTATTTCAAATTGATTCCTGAGTTTCCCTTGGGAAATATGAATTCAAATTTTGAAGCAAATTGTTAAGGTGGTCTTTTATCATTTCTGGGAACGATTCATTCATTGTTACATTATTTTCTTCTAAAAAGTTTGAAGTCCACGAGAAACATGTCAGATCCTTATTCTTGATGCTTTTCCATATAGCTATCTTTTTCTTCAGTGCGGCAATTTTGTAATTAGCATTGAATATTTTCTTCTGTTAATTTAATTCAGTAGCAATGCACAATATAACCAACAATCCAGTAGCAATGGAAGAAAAAAGAGTGTATTTGTTCATTTCCACTCCTCTCCTTTTTGCAATGAATTAGGTAGTCCAGTAAAGTGACATTATCACCATCAGTTTTCTATTAGCTTTCTGCTTCTTTGGAGCTGTTAAATTTATAGAACTTTCCCCATTAACAGAGCCTTAACGTTTTTCTCCCTCCTGTTTAATAAAAAAACTATAAACATGTTCAATTAATGGAATAAACAAATGTACCCAATTTTCACTCACTCAGCACTTTCCTTCCATGTGACAATTTTCTAATTTTCTTTTATCAAGGGTTATTGTTGTAGTAGAGTCTGTTGGCAACGCTGCAACTAGTAGTAAGGGTGTCAGAAGTGGGAAGAGGAGTGTTCAAGCGTTAGATGAAGATCAACAGAGGAAGATGATTCGGGAGATACTTATGTCACCCACTGATGAAGATTCCTTCGAAGGGTTTTCTGAGAGTGAAATGAGTGAGGAGGAGGAAGAAGATACAGTGGATGTGAATAGGGGAACTAAGAGGGTTACTCGGGAGCAGGAATCAGATGAGGAACGACAGAGGAAGAAGATGAACTTACTGCTCCCACTTACGGGATATACTTACTGCTCCCACAGAATAACAGAATTTCATGGGTTTTTCTGGGAATTATGGGTCTGCGAGTGATGGGGATGAGGATGAATCACTGGATTGGACCAAGATGCAAGAGGTTCGGGATGTGTGTCCTCAACCAACGTCTAGTGACACGTTTGCAGGGTTTTCTGGTGGAGGGGATTGGCAATCGGGTGATACTGTGGAATCTTGGGGAGATCTAAGTTTTGACAAGAGCTGGAAGAGTTGGAGGAATGGGCGTTGGCGTTCAGCTGTAGAAGCTAAACCAGCTGCAAGTGAGGATGACGAGGCGGAAGGCAGCTCATCATCGGATGATGAGTTGTAAGATAACAGTAGGCAAAGTTTTGGTTTTGTACCTTGGGTCTTGTCGCTGCCGCTTTCGTGTTGGGCTTGGGTCCTGG